AGAAGTACATGCTGTACACTGGCATACAAGGGACGTGATGAGAGGCTGAAATCTCTTTATGGTGACTGAGTCTGGATATCAAACAAACAAACAATCTATTAGGAGTACATGCTGTACACTGGCATACAAGGGGGGCGATGAGAGGCTCAAATCTCTTTATGGTGACTGAGGTTTGGATATTACTGGATTAACAGACGACAGGATAAACAAAGAGAGAGGGAAAACTGTATTTGTTAATGTTATTGATTCAACTGTAACTACTCAAACACTCATTAACATACACAAAGGTATGTAAAGAGTACATTACGTCCTAATGATTTATTTATTTTCTCATGTACTCATGTTCTCATGTTACTCATGCTTGATGACACAGTATAAGTAGTTTCTCAAATACTGATAAATACACTTTTTAACAGATTAAGGGCATTCAAAATGGTCAGGTAAGTGATATATTGTACTAAATTGTACTAAATATATTTAGCTATCTAAATGAGTGTACTCCATTGACTTCAACTGATTTTATATGAAGCTAATTATTACTGTAGAACTAACTCTATTTTTTAAAGAAATCTTTAAGCATTTTAAGAAAAAACGAACTACCTAAATAACTAAATAAAATTTTTTCTGTCCCTACAGGAAGATTTTGTCTGATTTAGGTCACTTTTGGGTACAATTTTGTCTCTAAACTATATATAAATATGCAACATTACAGATTGTTGAGCAAAATGAAATTTACTGTTTAAATAATAAAAAAAAAAGTATGAATAAAGAAAGAAAAAAACATATTTCATTAACTCATGTAGTGGTAATATACAAAAAAAGCGCTTTATAATATAATGACAACCACCTTAAAAACAGCGAAAGCCACACGATGAATCAAAATTCATCACAAATAGCTTTTTCAAGAGCTGAGGTCAATACTTATATATAAAAGGTGCACACAGTGTCATGCACATATAAAACACCATCGTGGTAACACACAAAATAATGCAATAAACAGTAATTTAACAAGGTGTAACATAAAACCCCAATGTACATAAGTGATAACACCAAAATAAGAAGAAAAATAGTTATTTCAATGAAAAACCATCAAATGTAAAGCATCACACAGAGGATTCTGGGAATATCAATTTACGTTTTTAACCGTAAATTAAATTAAATTAAATTAAATGTCCCATTCGATTTATTACAGTTTTTCACCATATAGCATAAGGGAACTTACTGTTAACTAATTAACAGGCGTAGCGTTTTTACAGTCTTTTACTGTTAAAATGACAACTTTTTTTTTTAACCATCTTGTTGAATTGTGTAGTTCTAAGTCTCCTTTTCTTCAAAAAATAAAGTCTAAATGCAAAAATGTCTGTCCACTATCCCATTAACTGTCGAAGGGGTACAGACACAGACAGTACATTGCACTTATGACTTGCCAGACCTGTACAATGTACCACCGCTGACAGTCTCAGGTTAAGCTTTTAGTGTTGTGTAGAAGTCAACTGCTGAGTGGTGAAGGAGAGAAAGAAAGAACGAGAGGTTAGTGATAGAGGTCAGGTCAAATGCTAATTTACCACATGGCTCAGTTGAACAAAAAAACAGGAATGAACACCAAGTAACCAAGACTTCATGGCCAAATCTCTCTTTTACACACACACACACACACACACACATATAAGAGTGCTGGCTGAGATTACAACCTTGAAATAGAAAACGGCATCTCCATCTCACATTTCACTGTGGGCTGTCACACACACACACACACACACACACACTCGCAGTACTGCCAGATATCCAGAGCGAGAGGGGGTTGAGTACAGCACTCTGATCTTATGATGGAGAGGATGTGAGACAAAAACAGACCTTTCAAAAGAACCCCTTTCATAAATAAACATCTACATTCGGCAAAAGGAGTGTGTTCACTCATGCATGAAGTGTGTGTGTGTGTGTGTGTGAGGCTGTCTGTGCTGTGAAATGCTCTCGGGCCATTTTCAGTCTGATACTCTGCATGTCCACTGTCCTGTGACTGTTCACTTCAAAGATTTCTCTCCTTGAACTCTGTCTTTCTTTGTTGTTTCTTCTCCCCCAGTGGGAGAGGTGGGCTGCCTACCTGAGAAAGTTGACTCTGGCTGAACTGGACATTGATAAATGGGCTTGCTTAACACAGGGTTATCTTAATGGAAATCTAAGAAATATTAGATAATTGTAAGGCTTGCAAGTCAGAGAAATCATATGGTCAAAGACGAGACCGCATCAAAATAAATTTACAGAAGTGATTTTTAATGTACACATAAAGCATATTAAATGCAAGTAAAGTGTTTAATGTTTCAAATAACTTTTGTGAAAATAAAATGTCAATGGGTGAAATAATATTCCGTTGTAATTCAGTGTAACAGATATATTTATGTACAAATGAAACATACTTAGCATACTTATTCTGACCTGCACTTCCCAGGTAAAAAAGAAATGCACTATACTAATCTCGATGCACTTATTAAAGTTTTATTATACTATACTAAGTGCATAATAAATGTGCTATTTTGGAACAACTAAGTATGTTAAGTGCTCTTTAAGATATGCTTATGATGAACATTAAGCTAATTGCAATATATAATTTAGGTTGGGTTCACAGGCAAAGCCAGGATTAGGCCATAGTAGTTCAATTAGGACATTTAAGTAATTTTTTATAAACATGCTTTAGAAAAAAAACATTACTGGTGTGCATCTTGAGACAAAACAAGGGCACTGACATATTTTAAGATCAATCAGTGCAAGTTTCTTTCAGTTGAAACCGCTCAGACTTACATTTTAGTCTGGGACTAGGCTTAAGCCTTGTCTGTGAAACCGGGGGTTAGTTCTTAAAATTTAAAATGGAACAACTTAAAGTATCTTTAGTGTAATTTAATTGTACTTCTTTGCATTATTTAAAAAACACTTTTATACTTCTTGAAGTACAGTTGGAATATATTTTAAGCTTAACTTTAATGTACTTCTAGTACATTTTCAATAGCATTTCAGCTCATTATAAATGCATTACCAGCACACTATTAGTTTGTTATAAAGGTATTTTTCAGCATTCTAAAATGGTATATTAAAAAGTACAAAAGATCATTAAATGAACATGACATAAACGTACACACACTCTCACATCTAGAAAACGGTAATGTACTCTATCTTGTGTACATTACAACAATACATTCCTTGAGTACATTTAAAAAGTACAATATACAAACTCTTGACCAAAATAATTGTAATAAATTATAATAAATTAAAATAAAGATCAGTGAAATGCTATAACAGAACTACTTTAATAAATTTGTAGAACATTTCTGTTATACCTGTATTACTTGAAAGTACACTATGAATATTCCATCACTGAATAAAAAAGTATAATGCAATTGTATGCACACACATACATAGGGCAGGTTTCACAGACAGGGCTCAGATTAAGCCTTGATTAGGCCATAGTTCAATTAGGACATTTGAGCAGCTTTTATAAAAAAACACTACTGATGTGCATCTTGAGACAAAACAATGGAACTGACATATTTTAAGATCAGTCAGTGCAAATTTCTTTTAGTTAAAACAGCCCAGACATGCAATTTAGTCTGGGACTAGGTTTAAGCCTTGTCTGTGAAACCGGGGGATAATGAAGTTGCCTGCAAATGGCTAAACCAAACAAAGAAACAGAACATTTCAAATGTCACCATCATCATCATCTTCATCTGGGGGCTTGCAATTCAGACACTGTGGTCTTTGAAAACTGCATTGCAGGGTCTGTGAAAGGAAAAATAATTAATCAGTGCTTTTGAGTGCACTGTAAAAAAAATTCCGTACAATTTACGGTAAAAAAACGGCAGCTGTGGTTGCCGGAATTTTACCGTAAAAAATACGGTAGCAATGTTTTAGGTTTTACGGTTTTAACTTACATTTACAGTTAAATACCATAATTTCATTAACTGATATAATGTTAATATACCAACCTATTGAAGTACCTTTGTAATACACTGATAACCACCAAATGCACACAGTTCTGTTTATTAACCGCTAGAGCACCAAAAGTTACAGACTGCAGCTTTAAGTATGTTAAATGCTCTTTTCAGATATGCTTAAAATGAACTTTAAGCTAATTGCAATATATTTGAATATATTTAGTTTTGTTAAAATGTAACAACTTAAAGTACCTTTAGTGTAATTTAATTGTACTTCTTTGCATTATTTAAAAAACACTTTTATACTTCTTGAAGTACAGTTGGAATATATTTTAAGCTTAACTTTAATGTACTTCTAGTACATTTTCAATAGCATTTCAGCTCATTATAAATGCATTACCAGCACACTATTAGTTTGTTATAAAGGTATTTTTCAGCATTCTAAAATGGTATATTAAAAAGTACAAAAGATCATTAAATGAACATGACATAAACGTACACACACTCTCACATCTAGAAAACGGTAATGTACTCTATCTTGTGTACATTACAACAATACATTCCTTGAGTACATTTAAAAATTACAATATACAAACTCTTGACCAAAATAATTGTAATAAATTATAATAAATTAAAATAAAGATCAGTGAAATGCTATAACAGAACTACTTTAATAAATTTGTAGAACATTTCTGTTATACCTGTATTACTTGAAAGTACACTATGAATATTCCATCACTGAATAAAAAAGTATAATGCAATTGTATGCACACACATACATAGGGCAGGTTTCACAGACAGGGCTCAGATTAAGCCTTGATTAGGCCATAGTTCAATTAGGACATTTGAGCAGCTTTTATAAAAAAACACTACTGATGTGCATCTTGAGACAAAACAATGGAACTGACATATTTTAAGATCAGTCAGTGCAAATTTCTTTTAGTTAAAACAGCCCAGACATGCAATTTAGTCTGGGACTAGGTTTAAGCCTTGTCTGTGAAACCGGGGGATAATGAAGTTGCCTGCAAATGGCTAAACCAAACAAAGAAACAGAACATTTCAAATGTCACCATCATCATCATCTTCATCTGGGGGCTTGCAATTCAGACACTGTGGTCTTTGAAAACTGCATTGCAGGGTCTGTGAAAGGAAAAATAATTAATCAGTGCTTTTGAGTGCACTGTAAAAAAAATTCCGTACAATTTACGGTAAAAAAACGGCAGCTGTGGTTGCCGGAATTTTACCGTAAAAAATACGGTAGCAATGTTTTAGGTTTTACGGTTTTAACTTACATTTACAGTTAAATACCATAATTTCATTAACTGATATAATGTTAATATACCAACCTATTGAAGTACCTTTGTAATACACTGATAACCACCAAATGCTTTTACTGTAGCATTTTTACAGTCTTTTACCGTTAAATTCACGGTCATTTTTTACAGTGTGGTGTTTTTGAATATCATATGCATTATAATTTGCATAGATATGCATTAACATTTCTTTGGGCACGTTTACACCTGGTCACTTCATGCGTTTTCTCTGGTGTAAACAGGTCCTTTGACTGTTCTCAGTTTACCTTTCAAAGTTTGGACTAAATCCTCATCAAGCTTGACATGAGCGTCCGTTTTTATCCTCTTGTCTGCCGTCACCATACAATGCTCTGTGTTACATTAAACATAAGGTTAGAAGAGGCCCAACATCTCTTCAACAGAAGTGCTGAATCCAAAGTTAGCATGACACTCAGAGCCTCAATAGTCACTTTATTAGGAAATATGTCAGCCAGAATGAAACCGGTGACATTCACTGATATGAGAATAAACACACTTACCACTTTCCTAATCTGATTTCAATATGTCTTCTATTGCAACAGCAGCTGATCTGAAAACAACAAATTTTAGCTTAATATTTCACAATGAAATATTAATGTATATCAATTAAAACTTGTTGAGGAAAAAAACACACACAACTTCATTTTAATTTAAAAAAGCATGTTATTGGTGTACATGCTATAACGACAAATTATTCTTTCTGCCAGTACATTGGACAATGTTTTTATAGCTGTTATATGACAGAGAAATGCCACTACCTAGACTTTAAGCAACCATATACCCAGTGCCTATAGTTGCAAGATAACTGCCAGTGTCATGTTACGTTAACATTCCATGTGTTAGCTAACATTTGCAAATGCACACCATCACTATCCACCATGGAAAAACTCAGAAGTGATCTTAAAGTTCGTTAAAAAATGGCTGGTAAAAATTTACCACTGAGGAGGAGTGTTTCTGTGGGCAGTATCTTCATCTGTCCTTGACTTGGCAGACACACCTTTTAAGCACCTATTAAGTTGTTCATGGGAGGCGGGAGCTGACCTGGTTTTCTAATCAGGAAAATACAATAAAGCGAAACTGGGATGATTTCTGCTGAAAACATGTTACCATCTCAACAGCATACAGCCGTGTGATTGGACTATTACCTGCAAAGTCGTTTTGAAAAGCGTGGCTCTGATTGGTCAAATTGAATGTAACAGAAATGGCAAAATAATGAGGTTCCAAATCTACACACATAGACGCTAAGAAGCTGGGAAAAATAAAGATGTAACAACGCATGTTCTATTTAATTTAACAGTTCACCCAAAAATGAATACAAACATATACATACATATACGTCACCTGGTGTCATGGCAAAAATGTACCTGGGGGCACTTTTTCGCGAGACGCGAAATACGTACCAATAAGTACATATCACTGCAGTTTCCAAAAGAAATGAACACTAGAGGCAGTAAAACTCCGACACCTTTTATTCCTTTTCACACAAATTTACAGAGTTTCGATTAATGAAGCGTAAAAATTAACGTAATTAAAGGCGTTAATAGGAAAAAGGAAAATTAAGCGTAATTTTCACACAATTACTTGAAAAATATTATGTTATGACTTCAAAACAATTTTAATATGCTGGGAGATTTGAAAACTGATACTTTTGAATGTTAGCATCACACACATCCAGCTTCATATCTATGGGTTTTCATAGACGGTAGGTTTGTTCGGTAGCTCGCTGAGTACGGAGATTTACTTGAGAGGTGAGGAGCTCTGGTTTGAATCCCGTGTAACTACGGTTCGACAAAACAGTTCAAATCTGCATATAAGGAAGTTTAAATGGCACGGTTGCATCAACAAATGCGTTTTTATGTCAGTTTTGTATTTGTTAACACTATCGGGTAGGTTTAGGGTTGGGCTGTAATCAAGTACTCACCTTCACGTTCATCTTCGAAACCTATGTTCGAAACACGTTCATCTTCTTTGCACGTTCGCTTTGTAAACACTGGGTCGGTTCTTCCGCCTATGTCACGTGATAAAAATCTTAATTTCTTTGCGACTGAAGATAGAAAGACAGAAAGACATGCATATCTTGGATGACATGGGGGTGAGTAAATTTTAATTCTGGAAGTGAATTAATCCTTTAAATATAGAGTATTTTAATGTCATCTAATGATTCTTATTCTAAATATGCCTGACAAGATTTTTTTGGTATCTGAACTAATACTAATAATGTGAAATACAGTATTATTACAAATTAAAATAATCATTTTCTATTTGAATATATTTTAAACTGAATTTTCAGCATCACTACGCCAGTCTTCAGTGTCACATGATCCTTCAGAAATCATTCTAATATGCTGATTTCTGCTCAAGAACCATTTCTTCTTATTATTATTATCAGTGTTAATATGTCAGGATTGGACCTGTTTTGTCATGTGTTTCAGTTCCTGTTTTGCCTTATTTGGTCATGTTCCTGTCCTCGTTTAGTTTGATTATGTTCCATTGATGCCACCTGTGTTCCCCTGATTGCCCTGTGTTTAAAAGTCCTAGTCTGTTCAGTTTGTGTTTGTCAGGTGTACTCGTTCTCTACGTGTGTTGGCTCAAGCGCCCATTGTGGATTATCTCCTGTGGTTCTTGATAAGAGACTGTTAAATGTTTCCTCGTGACTCCAGCGTGTTCCCTCAACAGCGTAGCGTGTGACATGATAGTGCTGCTTAATCTTTTTGATATTGATGATATGATGTAAAAAAAAATTTCAGGACTGATGAATAGAAAGTAAAAAAAAAAAAAAACGCATTAAATGTGTGTGTGCGCGCGTGTGTGTATAATGTATGATCATACATATAACAAATTTAAATATTTTTCTGTAAAATTTGAAATAATTACTCTTTACAATATTACTCTGTAAAACTTGCTCATAAGTGCTCATAGTGGAGCTCAATTGATGCTTTTGAGCTGCTTGTTTTCAAATGGTCAAGCTGGTTCACCATTCGGTGTCGATTATTTAGCTATAGTTTTGAATTAAAATGATTTTTAAAAATATAGTAATCACAAATGACTGGAAAGATTGTGAAAAATCATAATTCATTGTTCAAAAAGTGTGGCAAAGCAGTTCAAAATCTGTCCATTTTTTATTGTAACAAAAAGATAATTTGTTAGTACCAGTCTAGTTTTATATTGAAACGTGTGCAGTAATGTTGGAAAGTTTGACTAATTTCTACAAACCAGTTCTTTCTAACAGTTCATTTCAATGTGCTGCTTCAAAAAAACAATTCAGCATTTCATGTCATCATATTCCCAGATGTCACATGACATTTTACATGCTTTAAACATGTTTTAATAAATGCCACTTTCTTGATTAAGTAAAATTAAATGTATGTATTTATTGTATTTTATGTGATCCAGTTCAGATTTTACACCCACTGTAATTGAGATTGAGGTCGTCACAACCTGCATGCTGAAAATACGGCTATAACAAAACATAATTTTGTTTCTGTCGTGTTGCTTACATTACAGTTTTTTTAATACTATTAAGTACCCTGTGCAGAGAAGGAATGGATGAACGAAATATATGAACCCCAATGATTTCATTGCACAAACAGGTTTAGAATGATATGAGGTGGTACCAAATGATGAGATTTTTTCAGCCACAAATAATTAACTTACATACGTATTTGCATTTACAATAAACAAAACTAAAAATATCTCAAATCTTTTAAAAAGTGAAATCCTTAGTGCTCAGTTTGAGTGATGCTCGTTTTGAATCAGTGTGCTTTTAACTCAAGAACCGCCGCGACCAGATCAGTCATTTTCCAAATGAATCACTCAATTACTGAAAAGAACCAGATAAAAAAAAAAAATGATTCATTCACCAAAAAGGAATTCACTAACATACTGACTATTTCTTTTCTTTGCACACAAGGACCTGGACTGCACATTGTTTTAGGTGGGACAGGAAGACTAAGGGGTCCTAACGTAACCCTTTCCTGGGATCCATCCAGGGGTTATATGAGGACAAGGAACACGCAAGCCTTTGCACAAACACAATTCAGCGAAACTATATTAAGCACGGCACGATCCTCACATTGAGGTGTTTGGCATGCAAAATAGAACACAGGCCAAGAAAAAGGGCAGCCTAAACTTGTCCACTCTTACAAGCAGACGGACTCTCTCACTCACAGGCTGGTATGGATGTGCACATTTACAGAGCACGATGCTCAACTGGTCTTGAACTGCCTCTTCGGCTTCCCAAGAGACCGTCCAAATGGCATCCTACAGCATCACAGAGGCTTTTAGCCTGCCTCTGATTAAGCAGTATAGCAGAAATTAATTCTGCTGGGCTGAAGGGTGACATCATGGCACATGGGCACACTGCCAACTGCTTACATCTGCAACAATCCGGTCAGCAGCCCACCCCCCTACACATACAGTCTTATGCTCATTGTATTAACAGCACCTAATCTTATCCCACAGCCCCCTGATAGCGAAACCCCATCCATATGCCTGCAAACAAAATCCTTCCCTTTAAACTCTATTTACAAGAGACCAATCTTGTCACTACCCCACAGACGAACACTAAATAATTTTTGTCAAACAAAAAGAATGATGTAAAATCTCCAAAGCCTCCAAAGTCCTGGGCCAAACTTTGAAGAATCTAAACAAAGGGCCCAGTGCGGGCTGAGAGTAACCTGACCGCTGCTTGACCAAAGCCCTTAGCATCTCACTAGGCTCTAGTCAATGAGTGCTCATAAATCTGGCTTGGTAGTGAGTCACATAATGATTTTATCTGCTCTTCAGCACCTCACCCCTGACCTTTTCCCTGAGGCAATCTTAAGAGGATAATTTCTCACAGCGTAAGCTGGAAAGGCTTTGATGAGTCGACTTGGTTTTCAGTTGTAAATAATATTATATTAGGGAGTTCAAGGGTTTGGGGAAGAAATTGACATCTTAGTGAGCTGCCCATTAAGGCAACAGTTTTAGGCAACAACATAGCTCTCAAAGTGAAGGCTGTTTTTAAACAGTAAGATACTTTGCTTTGGCCAAAATCTAAAGCTGAAATGCAGTTTGAATCATAGCTAAGAACATCCCAGAATGCATTGTGACAAGCTCAGTAAAAAGTTGAGGGAAGTTAGATGAGGGGTGAAAGAAGTTAATCGTGATTCGAGACCTTGTTTCTTTTCCATTTCACTGCCTTGCATCTTGAGTTTTAAACGCAAAAACGTGTTCTGTGTGAACGACCCTGAACTCATAAACATCTTAAAGATGAATTTCTAAATGTATATTTATCATCTGACAGGAAACGTTCTAGAGACGTATTGCAGAAGAACACAGAAAAAAATACACCTTCCAGATGAAAACGCACATCAAATGGACGTCTATGATTTATGTGTGCAATCAGACATGTATTTTTGTGCTTAGAGTATTGTGATGTTAGCTTAACAATATGCTAACACCAGTCTTTATGGAAAGCCCGTATTATGTTCTGCTGGGAAAAAAATACATCTTGAACTGGCCTGTTTTCCTGGTTTTAGCTGGTTTAAGTTATTTTAGATGGTTTCAGC